GTGAAGATTGGTGATGTGGTGGAGGCGATAAGAGGAGGGAACACTGTCCTCGAGTTGCTCGTAGGGGTTCTCGCCCGTCGCTATGTGGGGTCTACAAGTGGTGGCGACAACGGCAGGGACACCGACCCGTCGTCCATGTGATGAAACTCCGACGAAACAGTTTGTCACAGCCCCTCGTTTGTTGTCCTCTTCTCTCTCTCTGCCTACGGTTTACCGGGCAGTTCTGTTTGTGACGATATATATATATATATATATATCTGTTTATGACGATATATATATATATATCTGTTTGTGACGATATATATACATGGCTGTGCCCCGATTAGGAGAAGGCAGCCCTTCTATTAAATAATAATAATAATAAATAAATAAAAATCAGCTTAGGCAACCGCCTATCGGCAAAGGGGTGCTTTTGCGAAAAAAGAAAAAGAAAAATCAGCGATGGGGTCCGAGACCTACTGGCGTTCCTGCCCCTACGTGCGATCGACACGTGGCTTGCGATGGACACGTGGTTAAGTCGCACTAGCAGCACTTCGGAGTCCGGACCCGGTTCCCGCCACATCATCTAAACAGTGAACATCTCATTGCTGCACCGTGGCCACATCGAAAGTCCCGACTGTTTTGTCAAAAAAAAAAAAAAAAAAAAAAAAAAACCTCCAAAGGAAGACTAAGAACCCGCTTGTGGGATGTGGGCCCCCCTCCCCCCCCGCCGCCGCCCCCGCCGCCCGCCGCCCGCCGCCCGCCGCCACCGGCCCACTGCAATAATGACGAGCAAGTTTGTTTTAGGAGCACGACACGGCTCAAGGGCAAACATCGAATGCGACAAGGGTCTTGCCGCGGGGTGGATCTACTACCTTTCCCTTCATAAGACTCCCACCCGGGCTGCCAGTTTCGGACCTCTAACGACCCGACCTACCCCGGTGATCCTACCCCTGTCGATTTCCTTGGATCCAGAAACAAAGGCCGTTAGGCTAGTCGATAGAAATCGAAGGCCTCTCTCTCCTTGGATTCCCGTTGGAAAGCCCTCTGCATGAACGATGAAGGGGCAAAGAAACTAAAGAAAACGCGTGCTGTCGTTCAATTGAGATTGAGACTCCTTGAGAGTGAGACGAAGCAGAAGCAGAAGCAGAAGCAGAAGCAGAAGCAGAAGCAGAAGCAGAAGCAGCGAGCAAAGACGGGCGGGATGAACGTTTCGCTTTGGGGCTTCGGTAAGCTGATCACTGATCAGTCAAGACACTCAAGAGTAGGAGTTGGCTCGCTCTCCAGAAGACGAGAAGAAGAGAGAACAAGAAGAGAGAGGAGGAGAACTTCAAGGGGGAAAGAGGAGGAGAAGGAGACGAAAAAGAAGTCAAGGTGCGGGAGAGACTGGTAAGAGGTCATTGGGCGGGCGTGTGTTATTGCAGTCGTCGTCGTCGAGAGAGAGAGAGAGAGAGAGAGAGAGAGAGAGAGAGAGCGTTACGCAGCTGGTGGCCTACCCCGTGTGGGGACACCCTGACTGCGATCTAAGTGACTTGTGGCCTACCCAGTCTGGTGAGTGGTTTACTTTCGCGATTTGTGTATGTTTTAATGCACTTCCTCGCCCGAGTCTTTCAATCTGCAAACTGCCGCTCGGCGCTTGCTCGTATTCGAAGAGTGTGTGTGTGGATGGAGAGAGAGAGAGAGAGAGAGAGAGAGCGCTCGTAATATTCGATGTGCAGAGAGACACACATGCACACACACACACACACACACAGAGAGAGAGAGAGAGAGAGAGAAAGAGAGAGAGAGAGAGAGAGAGAGAGAGAGAGAGAGAGACGCTAATTTCGCAATGTAATTTCCTTACTTTCACATCTAACCGAGAAGTTTACACGGGCTATAATTCCGATGCCGCTGTGTCTTTTGAACACCTCCCAGAGCTATTGCTAAAGTTAATACAACTTCGTTGCCCTTTCAGAATCTCTTTCTAGAGTCTAGAGTCTAGACTAAGAAAGACTAAGAAAATTTGTTTCGTAACCGCTAGCCCTTCACATCGTTCTATGATTCTTTTTTTTTTTTTTTTTTTTTGCTTTTTTTTTTTGCTTTTTTTTTTTTTTCTATGATTCTATCCATCCGACTCCATAAGGATTCAGTTCGCATCTTTTCATCAAGGGTGTACCGGCGGCTATTTTCCTCACCCTTACTTTTCTCAAGCTTCCTCTTGCTAATCTTTGCTCGCCGCTGTGTCTTTTCTTTTCGCCAGAGCCCGGAAGGGATTCCAACCGATTTGCTAATCCATCCGACTTGACGGACCTGTTCTGTCTCTGTCCGAAAAGACTCCGAATGACTACCTCCGTTGTCTTTTGTGTAATCTGTCTTTTTTTTTTTTTTTTTTTTCCTTTTTTTTCCCACTCCAAGGTCTCCAACACCTTGTGTAATCTGTCAACTTCTGTCTTAACGGACGCCGTTTTCCGTCTTGCTTGGCAGCCAAGCCACTAAGTTACGCGGAAGGATGGCGAAGGGTATAGCGTTCTACATGCGCTGGGTTCTCGTCGCTGCTTCATTCATACCTATCCTTGAAGCTCGAAAGGGTACGTGCTCACCTCTCGGCCACGCAGAACATTATGCTCCCTTGCTTGAGCCGCTTGAGCGTTGGGATTCTTGGGAACATGTGTGCTTGGTATTGGCTTGTGCGGGGGTAAAGGGATGTGAGAGCCGTATGTGGAGAAGCTGTTCATAGCAGCCTGTACCGGGAGGGGGGGCGGGGGAGAGAGAGAGAGAGAGAGAGAGAGAGAGAGAGAGAGAGAGAGAGAGAGAGAGAGAGAGAGAGAGA